CTGGGTTACAGATTCAGGAATAATTAAACAGCCCTTCACCAATTTACTGACTTGTACTTAGAATTTCAAGCTTTCCCAAATTTTGCATGATGGGCTGGAGTGCCCTTTCGTGCAAAGCACATCAGGGCAGTTTAGTTCTTTACTGTTGCAATTATCTCCTGCATTCCCCATGGTACTTCCTAGTCATGTTTAATGCAGAGCAAAAAATTTGTTTTAACAGTTTTTTCTTTATTACAAGGAATTTTTTAAGCCGTTGTTTATTTTGCTTGCCAGGTCTCATTCTCTTTGCTCTCTAAAGAGCAACCTCTATCCTTGTTAAGAGTCAGCACCGAAATGAATACGGCTGTTGTCGGTGCCAGCTGCCCAGTGCTGCTGAATAAAACAGTGCTCAAATGCTTCTCATTCGCAGAGCTGAACTTCCCAGGGCCCAGGGTTTTAATGCTTTAACTGCTCTTTAAAATTGAAAGAGACACACTTAATATTGATGATGACAAACAGCTACCCTGCGTAACAAAATGTGGCTCATGCCTCTTCCTGACCTTTACACCAACAGCCAGTCCCACACGGGTACTCCCAGGCTGAAAGGTTTGCACCCCTGAGCTGTAGCTTTGTGATGCTGTCCTGGCACAGCAGGAGCCAGTGAATGCTCAGAGCTCACCAGGAGGGCATGAGAAAGACAACATCCATGCCTGTACCTAGGTATTCAAGGATGTTTAAAACTTACTGTAAAGGGATGTGTGTGCATAACTATGTTACGTTTGGCATAAGCTTGAAAGAGGTAACAGGAGAGTCCAGCACAAAGAGAGCTCAATTTGTCTCTTATTTTGCTTCATTTTAGTTCCAGTAATGTGCTTACATTTTCTTTCTGAAGACTTGAGCTGTACTGAAAAATAATTCTGATAGTATTTTATAGCACTTTCTCCAACTTACAAAACCCATCTCTTAGCATGACTCCATTTAATATTTTTCCTCTCTTTGCTACACATTTTATTAAAACATCCATCTGGTAAGACATTTCTGTCTTCTGTCTTTTAAAGATACTTTTTAAATTCCAAATGTAGTGTAAGATGTACAGAAACTTTATTCAGCTGACATTAGAAAATGGCAGATCATATTTTTCACCCCTTTCTGACATATGCTTACTATTCTAGAGGGTAATATTTTTTCCACTAGTTAGAAGAATTTGGGATGCTATTAAATTATCTCCCAACTTTTGCACAGCTAAAAGTATAGCAATAACCAAACGTTACTTGTGATTTTAAATGTTTATTATTTAAATACTGCTCTAAAAGATAGGAAAAAATTGAAATTATCAGTAATTTTGGCTAAACATCATAGATATCTTGTGAGAAGGAGGGATGACATGAAAAAATCCATAGCTTTAAATAGGAAAAAAATTTAAACAATTCCTAAGAACTACAGTTAATGGCCTCTCTGCCTGTATACTTACAATATGTTTAATAGTATTCACATATGACTACAGAACCTACATCTATTCTCTCCTAAGGGGAACCTCAATGGACGTTTAGGCCACAAATTTCCTTGCCAGTATGACCAAATTCTTCCAAGTGAGTGCTCAAGACAGTGCATTATTCACATAAGAATAAGGAGTCGGAAATGCTTCCCAAAATTAACATATGGCAAGACCAAAGGCCCTATAATAGAACTTAAAATGACTAAAAGTTCAATTTATAAATCAACTGGATTAACTTTAGGAGAAAGAGTTCTAGACTGGCTCCAAAATGCAAAGAAAGTATCTAACTGCTTTCTTGTTCTCAAATCCTCTGTACTGCTAACTCTTGCAGATCAGATCATATATGTTACTCTTATAATTATAAACTCTCATCACATGACTTTGAAATGTAATAAATAAAGCTTTTAATGACATGAATGAAATTGTGCAGCTTCTGAATCAGTCATATAACATTAATCTAAACCTTTCCATAAACTACTTGTCAAATTCTTTTTTGCTGTGAGCTTCCAAGAAGTTTGTTCAGTTACAGCTGAACTTCATAAATTAAATTACTGTGAGATATTATATAGTCATTGTTTAGTATTAAAATAAGTGATTATTATACAGTCCTCAATACATAATATTAATTCTAACCCTTATATGTGTGTATGTTTATTGAATTAAGAAAGATTGTTTACATGAGCAGATTTAGAAAGTCAGACTCAACAACACTAACAATCACCTGCATTGTAGAAAAACCCCAGCCTATTACTGATTTAATTTTTTAGTATTTTTTTCTTTTTAGAAAAATAAATGTGCAACTGAAAAACTACACTGTCTCTGAAAAGTACACAGCCAGTCATTTACAAATACTTCCTAAAGCAGTTGGTGTGTGTATGGGGACAGGGGACTTCCTGCATGAAAGAAACTGCAAGACATGACAGGACTTAATGCTGATTGCACTGAAGTACCATTAACGTCAGTAGTAGCTGATGATACAAGCAGGCAACGCACTTTCCACTCAGTGGTAGAATTCCAACTGGTGTTTATCAGGCTCTGAGAAAACAGAGATGGTTGGATGATAATAAAATAAATTACCCAATACTGTAAACTAGCTAATTGATGACATGGAAGTATATTTACCTCTTTTTAAACAAGGTCATTAATATAAAAAGCAGGTAAAAGAACTTTAATCTAAAAGTGTTTCTCTGACCTAATGTAAGGCCTTTTCTTACCAAATGAGTAGCATCAATATAGAAACCCTCTTCAATGGACAAAAAATGGTGCTGTGCTCTCACCACTTTTTCTCCAACTCCACCTGACAGAGTTTCCTGGTGGTGCTGGTTTTTACCTGACAGTTGATTAAACACTTTCATCATCGGTGGCAATACTGGCAAAAATCCTATCATCATATTTATTAATTTTTTAAGTGCTCTATTGTGAGCACTACAATGACCTGAAACGGAACAGCTGTCACTTCTTCACACACACGTACCTGGGCTTCCATAGAGCTCTTTTTACTATTTAATTGGAAAGGTCTTCTTTTAATGATGCACAATGGATACATGCACTTGCCATGTAAGAGAAGATAAACTGTTACTAACTCAGAAATGTAACAGAAAGCAGATTCTTCATGTTATTATCAAGCAAAACTTTCATAAATGTTGCAAGACCTTAAGTTTCATTTGCACTGAAGTCAATCAGAAGTAGCTCCACTGAAAGCAGGGAAGTTGCAATTGATGTAATTACAAGATGGACTTGAATTAGAACTTGCCCATCTACTGCAACTAAAGTACTTATGGCTTAAATACACAATGGATTTTATTATTTATAATATTTAAATTGACTTTTAATAAGAGCCAGACAAAAGTATAACATAAATCGTACTGGGAATGACAACTTGATGGACTGTTTTTCACTTTGCTCTGCAAATGAAACAGACAATAAACTGTTTAAAGTTGCCGGACTTTTTCACAGGGAAGTGAACACAACGTGAACAAATGTTGAATAAAAAATAATACAGTTTCCTAGGACCAGAAAACACACTGCCTTTCTAGTGGAATTTTCACCTCCAAAAAAAGATGGCTGGAGTTATCCCGAGTTAAAAAGAGGGATCAAGCTCTTTCCTAGTCAAACTCAGACATCCTTTATCTGTTTAGTGAGTTGACACTATCAAGAACATAGTGCTTCACCTGCAGCAGCAGATATTCTGGGAACTGCAGAGTTTTTAGTAGTGAAAATAAAAACAGATTGCAAGAGAAAGTGTAGAATGGAGAAAGAGAAAAACAACAGAAGAAAGCCAGTTGAGATTTTTCTTTCAAAAGTAATCCAATACTCATTTTAGTCTGAACATTTTTACCAAGCTCTTTTCATTCCCTTTGAACTCTGTGGGTTGGGAACATCTGTCAGTCTGGATCTGTGAGGTGTCCAGTATTTTTCAAATACTGCTTGACAAATAAATAAATATTCAGCTTCAAATATCTGTATTTTAAAAACCAAAAATCTTGGTTTTCGAGTTTCTTCCTTGTAGTTTGCTACAAAGCATCATCAGTTTTTTAATGTTTATTATTTTTGTTATTACTGTAGAGCAAAATCAGACAATTGGCAACGATTGTTACTAAAATTCTTAAAGACATACATCTCCCACCTTTCTAATGCTTTCCATGATCCTAATTGAGACGATCTGTCATTCTGTGGTTCTTAATTTTCTCAAGAACCTCAAATTGCTGATAGTGACTCACACAAATAAACACTGGAAATAGACCCCTGGAAAAAGAGGTACATTTCAAGCAAGGAAACTGAAGGCTCTATCTGCAATAACACACTCAGGCAAGGGCTCATCTGTCCCTGCTGAAGTCAAAGGTAATGTTTGCCTTCAAGCCAAAACTACATTTTCACAATTCACACTGAAGCCTCTAAAAGAGTAAAAAGTGGGAGTAGTCTTCGTTGGATAATAACAGGACTGGTTATATCACTCCTAGGAATAGGTTTGAAAACACATGCCACGTGGGCTGAGTGGGCATATGCAAAGGTGAAAATACATGCCCTTTTGAAAGCAATGAGATTTTTTTCAGCAGTGGACAGGCAGGGAACATTGAGACAGAGATTTAAGAACACTATCACTGGGACTGTCATGAGCATGTTTTGAAACTTTTCTTCAGCCGACTCCAAAACATGTTTTCAAAACACATGAAGCCACCTATCGTTCCTGCGAAATTGAGAAGCACTGCTGTACCGATTTCAGTGCTACCTTAGCCTCATCGGCCAACTGGGAGGGGCTTTCTCTCTCGCCTTTACCGGAGCCTCCGCTCGCCCCGTCAACAGTTGCCCCGAGCATCCCCGCGGCTGCTCCGCGGAATCCCCGCCGCCCCGGCAGGGACGCCCCGGCTGGGACACCCCAGGGGAGGCTGGGCGGCGGGGATGGACACCCCGGGGGAGACTGGGCGGCGGGAGGGATGTCCCGGGAGGCGGCGGGGCCGGGCGATGGCGGGGCTTCTCAGCAGATACCTCCCCTGCCGCGGTGCGGGAGAGTTTGCCCGGCTCCTACCTGGTAGGCGTCGGGAATGTTGACCGTCTCTCCGTGCTCCGCCACGTAGCCGATGATGCCCTTACCCCAGGGCACCTGCACCTCGTTGCTGTTCTCGGTGGAGCCGCAGGGCAGCAGCGGGGTGCCGGCGTGCACGTCGAAGAACTTGGAGACCAGGGTCTTCTTGCCGGCGGCGGCTCCTTCCACAAGGAAGAGGGAGCCCCGGTCCGCGTCCACCATGAGGCAGACGAAGATGAGGATCTTGTAGCTGAGGCTGGTGAGGTCCAGGTCATTGGAGATGTCCTTGACCAGCTCCAGGAAGAACTGGCGCTCGTTGTGCTCCTTGAGGTAGCGCTTGTAGTCCAGGGCGGTGGGGGGGTATTGAGGCAGGCTGACGCGGGACTCCAGCAGGGCACTGAGGATGTGGGCGGTGGTGGGGGGCAAAGAGCTGGCCTTCCGCAGCAGCGCCCGCCGCCGCACGCTGCTCAGCGGCTCCTGCGCCCGGGCGTGCACATGCTCGTCGTAGGTGAGGTTGACGTGGATGGCCTTAGAGCGGGCGAAGCTCTTCCGCAGCTCCTTCTGGGACGCTCGGCGCTGCAGTCCCCCGCCGCCGGGGCCGGGACCGCCGGGGCCGCCTGCGCTACCGCAGCCGCCGCCGGGGCCGTCGCTGCTCCGTCGCTCCTCCGACGGGCCGGCAGTGGGGGCGGCGGGTTGGGCAGGCGCTCCAGGGAGCGAGTTCTTCCTCTTCAGCCACTTCTCCACCAGCTCCGGGTGCCTCTCTAGGAAACTTTCCACGGCTGCCACGTCTAGGCTGGCATCGCCGGCGGTGGCCATGGTGCCGGCGGCGGGGGTAGCTCAGGCCATGCCCTGCCGTCGCCACGTGCTGCCGCCGCCCCGACGGCCGCCCCGGGGCACGGGGGGACTGGCTGGCAGCCCCGGCGAAGGGCCGCTCCTGCCCCTTGCCCGGGCCCTTGCTCAGAGCCGCGCCTTCTTCTCGCCACCTACTTTCCCCCCGCGACCTCCTTTTCCTGCCCACCACTCTTTATTAATAGTAGTATTATTCGTATTTTTCTAGATATTTTTTCTGCTTCCCGGATTTCAGCCCTTCTCCGGCTCTGGCCCCAGTCCTCGGTTTCGGGCCGCTCCCCTGGTGAGTCGGGCAGGCGCTGCCGCCGCGCCTCTGGAGATGCTCCGGGAGCGCTCGGGCAAACCCCTTCTGCCAAGTGCTGTCAGTGCTGGCGGCGGCTGCTGCGTAAGCCAGCCGGCAGACCACTGAGAAGGAGGGAGGGGAGGACGCGTGAGCCGAGCGGGGGGGCAGGCGCGGGGGAGGGAGGGCTGGCAAGCCCCGCTGCGGGTACGAGGGGGTGCCGTCGCCCGCCTGGCCAGAGCCGCTTGAGCAGAGAGCGGGCGGGGCGCGCAGGGTCCCCCAGCAGGAGGACCCCTGGCAGTGGGGAGCTGCCCTAGGAAGCTTCATTCAACAACATCGGGGGGAGAGGGAGGGGCCTTTTGTCTGTGATGCGTGTTTGGGGAAGAGAGACGAACCGGGCTGTGGGCTGCGGGAAAGGCGGCGGGAGGGTAATGCGAGCGGTCGTATTAAAGAGCTCTAATTTATAGCATTATCTGAGCTGATTCAGTACTTCAGGAGACAGGCGGAAAAACGGAGCCCATTCAAGAATCTCGAATGAATTCCGTTTCTTGAATCTCTGAGTTGATTTGCCTACAGCCTCACCCGTGCGGAGACCCAGCTCTGCCCGGTGCGCACTGCACCCGCGGCGTTTCCCTCCTGGCGCGGCGTGCGGGCAGCACAGCGGGCTCTGCCCGCCAGGAGCCGCCCAGGGCTTTCTGCCGAAAGCCGCTTTCCCGCAGGGCAGCCCGGCGGGAGCGGGCCCGCCGAGGCGCTCCTGAGTGTCCGCTCCGGCATCACCGGCTGCCAGACGGAATCCGACCGCATCCATCGCCGGCAGACGGACCGGGGTTATTTTTATGCGCACGTGGAGCACGTTTCATTGCTTAATCAATGCCTACGCGTAAGCGATTGAAAAAAAACAAGAGTCATGGATCTTAACACGTGAAAAATGTCTTTCATGCGCTCACCAAAGACTGAATGAAGGCTGCTTCAGAAATTCATGAATGGGAGTTTGGGTGGCTGGGAAAACACACGGGCAAATCTTCAACCAAACGGGATTCCGACCTGGCGAGGCCCCTGTTCCTGCAGCAGCCCCTTACGGCGCGGGGTCCGGACAGTGCAAGGATAGGGAGCGCTTTTGGGACAAGTGTCGGTAGTTCAGGGGGGTTCGCGGGTGTCAGCCGGGAGAGGAAGGGTTGCGTGTGTGTCCCAAATGATTGCCGCGTCTCCCGCAGCAGTCGGGGGTGACAAGGGACTCTGCAGATGCTGCGGCTTCCGCAGCTAGGAGACTGCTTAGGAAGCTACAGACAAAGGATTTTGGCTCCCAGTCTCGGTGCCCGCACTGTTGCAGGCTGAGCAGCCGTCCCCTCCCTGCCGCCGGTCCCAGGCCGCTGTGACGGCAGGGCTCCGTGCCTGCCCCCCGCCTTCGACGGGGTTCTGGGCAACTCTCCGTTGCACAGGGATGCTGCCGCAGGAGCACGGGCTCTCCGTTGAGAAATCCCGCCGCCCGCGGCACCCCCTCGGCAATGGGGCAGGCGGGGGCCGCCGGACGCCGTCCCCGCCAGCAGCCCCAGCCGCTGGGGAGAGGAGGGAGCCGGGCTGGCCCCGGGCTGCCGTGGCGCTGGGAAAGGGGGCGCACCCGGCCTCTGGCTTGCTGGGGCGCGCCCGGCTGCAGAACCCGCGGCGAGAGGGCTGCGGGGTGCGCGGCGTGCGGGGCGAGGGGCGGCAAGCGCGGGGGTCGGAGGACACGCTCTAGGGGGTCGTCCCCGAGCTGCTCGCACCTCTAATGAAGCTCTTTCCTTGCAGGTGGCTTGGGTATGAAATGGCAGCGCATCTCCGCGGGGGCAAGGGCGGCTGAAACACTGCTCTTGAAGCGTTTCCGAGCGCGCTGCCGGCGCGCCGCCGGAGCTGTGACGCAAAGGGGTTCCACACGCGGCAGCGGGCGCAGCCCTCCAGACTGCGCCGCGACTGTCACATCGTCCGCGGAGGCCCCGCTTTGGGAGGACGCAGCCGAGGGGCCGCCCTCGCCCCCCGCGCTGCCGGGGCCGCCGCTGAGTCGTCCCCGCCAAGGGCGCCGCTGCCACACGCCCCGAACCGCATTTGCGGTTTTGCAGCGCTGGCACAAACACTCCCCTTACACAAAGAAATCGTATGAGCTGCTGGAGGTCAGTCTGGCGCGTACCCCCAGCTCTCAAGCAAGGACTTTGGGTGCGAAATATTTGTATGGAAATAATTTTTACTATCTCGCTGCAGTAAGGTTTGGTCTGAGCACTCATACCCGTGTTTACTACGAAATGGTTACTGTGTAGCGGTTCTGTATGTAAATACTTAAAGCAATTTAGTGTTTCTGTAAGCCTAGGTATAAACAATGTCTTCCCTTACCGTTTCTTCAAGGTCTTGCGGCATCTTTAGTTTATTTTCTGGGACTTTATGCATGGGATTCATTACATTAAAAATCTGTATATTGATAATCTCTCAAATAGCAGAGTCAAGACTGAAGAAAGTAAAACTGCAGTTGTCTCCACTGCATAAAATACATAGTGAATGCTTTACTGTAACACCTTAATTGTAAAGAAGTTTGCAATCTTAAATCCGTGTATAAACTAGAAGCTCTTCAGGATGAAATGTGACAAAGATGATCACAGTGGCTTGACTGTTCTATAACTTGCATGGGCTTTGAACATGGTATCAGGATAAAACCTGATTCAGAAGCCTAGCCTGGTGTCCTGTGCATTGGTGGATGTTAGGAGAAAACTGGGGTCTGTCTGGCACACATCAAACTATACATCTGTTTGTATGATGAGTAAACCAAGCGCACTGTATACTGGGCTGCAGCTTCATGTGTGGGCCTGAGATAATTAGTTTAAGCCTTTTGTGGGAGGGCCAAAAGAAAAATGGATTTTTCAATGCCATGAGATTGTGCTGCCTTTGTAATTCTACAAGTATGCTGTACTGAGGTACAGGCAGCTTACATCTGATGCATCTTACATATGATGCACCTTTAGTCAGCAGGGATGCACAATGCCAGCTCAAACAGCAAGAAAGGCTTTAGCCAGTCTCACCTGGTTTCCTTGGGTACAGACATACAGAGGTGCCCTAAAAGAATCACAAGCAGAAATATCAGTGCATTTCTCAGGCAGAGTGTGTTTCTCTGTTCAGAAGGGCAGTGATAGAGTGCTCCTCAAAATGAAAAAAGCACTTGAGAAAGTTTTTGTTATTCAAGCAGATGCTTTAATTGTCTAAATAGTCAACAGAAGAGATTCTGATTATTAAACTGAAAGGGGGAACTATCTTAAAACTACAGCACAAAAGAAAAGAGAAGCAAGTGCTCACTCAGTTGTGTCCGAGAAGTTGTTACCTGATGCTTGCTTATTCCCTTCCTTCAAACCATCAGTTCAGTTCTATGGAGTGCAGAAGACAACCAGTTAAAGCCCCTGGTGGGTAAGCATTGAAGCAGTATCGATAAAATGAGCACCTGGGAATAGACACTGTAGCTTTACATAGCCATAATTGACTAATAGTTTCAGTGGGTTTCCTTTATAGAAAGGAACAGTATTTGTATAGAACCCTCTATTTCTATAGACGTCTCTATATGAAATGTATAACACCATATAAATAATGCCCACCTCACAATGTTACTAGGACACAACATCTTAAAACATATCCTTATTTGATTTTGCTAAGGCCAGTCCCTAATCAATAATTAACATCAAAATACTAAAACTTGACATAGGAGCTAGTCAAAATTAAAACCATCTTTCACTAACATTGCAGCTGCTGAAGCAATGTTCAAAGAAGTTGCTTTTTTCAGGTATGCAAATAACATCAGCTCTTTCATTCTGCTTTTTAATCGCAGCAAAAATAATTTTTGAACCAGGAAGGTATTTCTTAGGGTTTTCTAAATACTCTTGTCAGTGTATTCTCACTCCAAACA